AATTTCGTTTCGTACTGGCGGCTTGGCTTTTCTAAACAATAAGAGTGGCTGCGTCGAAGTCGTTTTTTCTCCTGAAACATAAGCGTGTGTACGGTAGACCGATGGCCCTCTGACGATTCTCACGACCACCCTCCCCCCGTTTTTGTTGCTGATTTTTCGTCCAACAACAATGGCAACAACACCGCCACCACCACTACCACCACCACCACCAACAACAACAACAACAACGACAACGACAACGACAACGACAACGACAACGACAACGACAACGACAACCAGACACTTCGCAAAGGACCCTCTCAACAGCGACGCCGGGGAGCTGCTCTGGAAAGAGTTGCTCATCCACGGGGGCGCCAAGGATCCCCACGAGATGCTCCGGGTGTTGCTGGGGGAGGAGCAGGGGAGCGGGGGCGACGCGGGGCTGAGGGCGGGGGTGACCAGCCTGCTGAAGGACACGGGCGCGGTAGCGACATGAGAGCGCGCTCCTACTCCTGCAAGCTATGTGTAGAGGAGTAGTACAGTGGGGGGCCTGTTTGGTGCCGGTGCCCCATATAATGCGGTATTGCCGGTGCCCGGTATAGTGCCTGTCAGTGCCTGCGCACGTACCGGCACTAAACAGGGCCCCCCACTGTACCGAGAGCCGGTGGTGACTCCCGTACAAGTGAAACTATTGAAAGAGACAGGGAATGCCTCGGGTAGAGAGGGAGAGAGAGAGAGGGAGCTGCGGGGCCTGGTCGAAAGTGCCCTTGTGTTTCTTGATCAGCATTTATTTGTTGCCGTTTCGCGTGTTGCGTACAATTTGTCGTAGCTGTGCCGGTCATCATCGAGAGCAAGACGAAGAAAAAACGAACGCTTGGAGAGACCCCGATACAAACAATAGATGGCGGTTTCGAGAAGGCGGCTTTGGCGAATGTCACCACCCACAACTTTTTTACAGCCCTTGGAGTTGGTCAACACAGGTCCGAGGGGGAAACGAAGTGCTTCCCACGAGGACAGTTTGGAGTGCGCTCTCAAAATCTTAGCCTCCATGCCAATCTCGAGACAACAAGAGGAAGGGAGGGGGAAGCGGAGAGAGAACGCCTTGAAACGTCTGCATCTTGGTAGGTCCGATCATCACCAACTTGCCCGAATGGCCAGGTTGGAAAAATCACGGGGTAGCTAAATTGTCGCTCCGCCGGTTCGACGACGGCCGGCGAAACGATCTCCGGCGAGGACTCACAGGGCGTTGCCGTCAGGCTGGCCGCGCCTTTTCGCAAAAAAAGCCACGAAAAGGTGATGCGCCAGAGCCTGTTTCTGCTTTGCCCCCGCGTCATCTCTAAGGGAGCTGGGAAAGTCACCCCCAACAAGGCCAGAGGGAAAATAGTGCATGCTCCTGTTGCTTTCGCCCCCGAATGTGTCAAGGTTGCAAGCAAACCTCCTGTGTATGCATACAGTATTGTAATTCCTTCATGGACCAACACGAAATAAAGAAAAAGCTATGATACACACGCGACGAGAAGCCGGGTCGATTTGGTGATGAAAAATCACTTTGACCCTTAGACTAGCCTACGGAGAGCGAACAAACTTGCTACAGACCCTTCGCACCTTTTTGGCGACTATTGCAATCACTCGTTGCTCGCACTGTACTCCTTCTCGGCCACCGACCACGTGCGCATCAATACCTACAGCACCATCAGATTCTATATTCCTAGTAGCGACACCCCCAACTCCCGCGGGCGCCCTCTCTTTACATGCGTTCCTGACACGTCCCATTCGGGGTAAAGACAATCTAAACCTAGACGAAAAAAACTTACAGCATACAAGGAAAAATATAGAGTAAGAATTTTGTCTCTTGGAATCGGAATGGACGGGAATGGCCTACTCATCATTTCGTCCGGCGTTATGAACAAAAACAGGCCACCATCCACATCATCTATCTCCATACGGCCCACCACGTAGACAGCATTCTAGGCACGAAAAACAACGAATCAGCTGCCGGACTAGCTTCATGGCTACGGTCCGTGTTCATCGCCTTCGCAGGTGTAAGGCATTCTGCGCACTACCTTACGTACACCGTATACGAACTCGACCAACAAAACACACTAAATTAACCCTTCACACGATAAAGAAGTACACACATCAACACACGAACACACCCTCCCTCTCGTACGGGGGAGGCAGAGCGGAAACATCGCACACTCATCATCCCGTCAACAAACGAGGAACGGCTGGCGGCCAATCGCTCAGATCCCACGGCCTGTGTGCGTACCTCTGGTGATGACCGTGACACACGACACAAAAAAACGCTCCCAAAAGCAGAACGCAAGCGGTAAAAAAAAACAAACAAAAAACAAACATACATACAGCTAGGTAGGTCGACATCGCGCCCAACGCTCAAAGGGCGAAAAGGACAAAAAGGGCAAAAACAAACAAAGAAAATAAAAGGTGTCAAATTTGTCCTTTTGTGGAACAAAACACGCATTCCCTCGCCAAGCTTCCAAAAGAAAATGGTCCTCTTGTGGCACCAAAACACGCCTTCCCTCGAAAAAAGCTTACAATAGAAAGAACGTGGCATTTGTTGTGGGGATATTCGCGTGCGTGATCGCCACTTCCTACAACACATTTGTTCTAGAAAAATACGTCGTTTGGTAGGTAAAATCTCCTTTCAAAAAAGTTGACCAATCAGAAAACTGCGGGCAACTATTCTCGGCGATACACCCCCCTCGTACAACTAACTTCGCCGAACACGTGCCACCGCAATCGCCACACCGATCGATCGGACAAACCGCCGTCGACCCAGTCACCTGCCGAGAGCCAGCGGGAAAACACAGCACCCTCCAAGACCAACACGAAAGTAAATAGCTTCCGCCTATCAAGGAGACGAAAACAATGACGGAAGAAGAGCAGCAGAAGCACCCGCGGCAACAAGCCAGCCCAGGGCACCGCTCCTGACCCTCTCAGTCCCCGAGGTGGCAGCCGAACCCTCGCCGTCGCCATCGGCAACAGTGCTGCTGCTCTCGGGAGACGGAGTAACACCGCTGCCTACCGCAGGCACGGCCAAAAAACCGCCGCCTTCAGCACTTGGGGCGGAGGTTTCCAATCGTTCCGGGGCCGGCGTCGTCGTCGAAACGCCTGTTGGTCTGATGGTTTCGACTTGCTCAGGAAGGCTTTCCGTGCTTGGGGCGGGGGTTGCCAATCGTTCCGGCCCAGGCGTCGTCGTCGGATCGGGCGTTGGTGAAAGGGTTTCGACTTGCTCTGGCAGGCTTTCCGTGCTTGGGGCCGGGGTTGCCAATCGTTCCGGGGCAGGCATCGTCGGAGCTGGCGTTGGTGGAAGGGTTTCGACTTGCACTGGCAGGCTGTCCGCGCTTGGGGCGGGGGTGGGGGTGAGGATGCGGGTAGGGGCGGGGGTAGCCATGCCTGGGGCAGGGGAGCGGCAGACGGGTAGTGGAGAAGAGGGGGAAAGGGGAGGGGGGGGATCTCGGTCTGATGATATATTACTGTCAAATCAACGTCGTGCTGAGCATTTCTTCAAGACAACAGAAGAGCCCAACCATGTTACCGTGACTGCAGCCTTCTTTCACTTCTTGCAGCAGTTGCCGTTGCCTTTCTGAATTATTTTTTCCCCACGGCCACAACACACCACGGACTTTTTAACACATTCCTCCTTCCACAGAGGCAATAACTCGAACGAGTGGAGTAGTCTTTCTGTGAAAGCGTCCTCGATCGGCAATGAACACCAAAACGAGAGGGGGGGGGGGCAGACAAGCGGGCATGGGTTGAAACAGGGGTCGTCGTCGATGATCATCATCGTGGTCGCAGCGTACCAACCACGAACCCGCCTCTCCTCACCATCCGAACCACAAAACGCGCGGGAAATAGCCACCACCGCTACCTGCTTGCTTGCCCGCCGTTTATAGTACCCACCTCCGTTGTTGTCGTAGTCCTCGTCGCACTCGATGGACAGCGTCGGGGACGCTGGCTCAAGCTCGCAGGTGGCGCATCCGATCGAAAACCACTCCGTGGTGACGTTCACCGGGTGATCGGCACAATCGGGCGCCTGGACACAGCAGGTCACACACCAGAAAGGGGGCGCCGTGGGAGGGGGGGTGTACTCATAGTCGTGCATGCCGTAGTCGTTAGACCATTGACCTCGCATCCCTACAAAGCCGGGACGGAGCACGCCGGGTTCTCACCGGACCAGGCTCTCACATCACCAAGCGCGAAGCGCCGTGAGGTATTCGGCGAGTCGCATGAAGGGTGCGCTGCATCCTGCTAAGGGTGTTCGGCATCTTGTGCTTACTTCCTTGCATACGAATGACAGCTGCGTATGACTTAATTTATTTTCTGGTGCTTTCACTTCCAGAGACAGTTGTAAGCACTGTGAAACTGCCTCGAAGGGTGCTTGACCATTTTAACACAACGTGGTGCGATCATCTCCCTTGCGCGGAGTAAGGTTTCTCCACCCCGCACAACATGATCTACTCGACCACCATTCATGGTTACCGCAAAAAAAAAACAGAGGTAACAACAAAAAACGGTAACCTGGTTGCCGAGTTCACGAAGTGACTTGGCTTGTTTTACAACGTCGTTGCCAAGCGACGAAAACCCAATCCCGATGGCAAAACACCGTGGGGGGGGCGGCTTGTTTTACAACGTCGTTGCCAAGCGACGAAAACGCCAACCCCGATGGCAAAACACCGGGGGGGCGCCGTGGGGGGGGGGGGGGTCTAGAACGGGTGCTTACTTCGTCTCCGTGTTAGGCGGACAGCATGTCCTTCCAAGCACGCTTGACGCCTGAGCCAGCCGTTTGACCCGTGCAAACTCTCCCCCCCCCGCAACGGGGGATATCAATGCCGCTCATCGCTTCAGCTTCGCGGCGTGCTCCCTCACCACGTATACAGGGTAGGCAACGCCGTCCAAGGAAGGCGAGTCAGCTCCAGTGGAAGAAGACCTCCCGCTGCTGTCCCCCGCGGACAAATTTATCCAGAACCCAGACGCGCACTCGGCAAGTGATCGACGCCGTCGTTCAGCACCCCCGCCCTGCCCTTGCTGCTGTCGCCGCCAGCCGATCGTCTCCTCGACAAGCCCTTCGACGCCAGACAGCGAAGTGTGCTGGTTACCATCGGCAGCGGTGTTATCGGCAGGAGATAACCATTCTATAAGAGTTTTCCATACGAGGTGCGCGTGCAGCAGGGCGGGGGGGGTATTCGTTGTTTCTCGAACGTGGGGTCATTCAGGACCCCGAGATGCCGGTTCTTGTTGCGGAACAATGACACCTATGGCACCGCATGTGCGGCTAGCTTTTCGAAAGAAAATTAACGCCACCCACCAGGTTTGCTTCATTTCTTCATTGTTTTTCCTTTCTGGCTGACAACGTCTGCGAGCGGTGGTTTTTCGTTTGTCCTCGTCGCCCAAGTTTAGTACAAGTATTTTCTTTCTGATTCACAGCACCGTTTACGTTTCGCGGTGTCCGGCGCTGGTCCTTCGTATCAGGAATCCGCGGTGTAGCTCAAGTCCTTTCAGTAAGCGTTCTTCTGTCTCGCGCAAGTTGTCGCGGTGGCGACGGCAACGAACGGGTACATATGCTAGCCTACGCATCGGATCTGCGTGAGAGGGGAAAGTGCATCGACAAGAACACATACGTATCTCGGCGGCGACAAACTGAGGAACAACATGTACTTGCATGAACTACACTGTCGAACCCGAATGTGCAAGTTTACCCCATGTCCACCGCCTGGCCTTTCCCCCTCTCTGACTCCCTATTCCCTGCTGTCGATGAGTCGGTCGCTCGACTCTCCGCCTGTGTCATACTCTTCTCTGCCTCTCCCTCTGATTGCCCGTCTGTCTGTCTGTCTGTCTGTCTGTCTGTCTGTCTTTCTTTCTGTCTTTCTGTTTGTCTGTTTGTCTCTCGACTCTCTCTCTCTCTCTCTCTCTCCCTCTCTCTCTCGATTCTCTGCCTGTGTCGTATCATTCTTCCTCTGTCTCTCTGTCCTTGTCTGTCTCTGTCTACAATATCTCTCGCTCTCGCTCTCTCTGTGTGTGTGTCTATCTCTGTGTCTGTCTATCTCCCTCTCTATCTCTCCCTGTCCCCCCCCCCCCCCCC